AAGGTGATCAATCTTAATCTATTTATCTTGCTTTTCACCATTTGAAAAAAGTCAATTGCACCTAGTTGATGCATTATTTATCGTTAACATTGCTTTTTGAGGAAAATTAAACGTACCTGGTGCTGAATGCCGAAGTCAATGGCTGCAATTACTTGAGCAAAAGCCTCCTTTGCTAATAGAACAACTTTCTCTGGGTACACTTCCAACATATGTGATATAAGCCTAAAATACTGCAACCGAGGACTGTCAAAAAATCTGTCTAAAATCTAATCATTTCCAAAAATATGCTGAACTTACACAACCGCTGAGCTTGGGAAATTTTAGAAGATCAAATGAAATTAAAGGGCTCACGATGTGCAAACCGACAAAGATGACCTGTATAAGAGAAAAATAAACAACCTTCTAACTGGCTCTACTATGAATATCATAGAACACTTACCTCGGCAATATCTGGGCTACCTGGTTCATCCGGAGAAAAGTCAATCTACATAAAAAAACTGAGATAATCAATCATCAAAACTCTTCCACAAAACCAACTGCTGATGATGTAATTATCTCATACCAACTCTTTGGAGCACAGGTTCGTGAGGAGCTGAAGCAAGGCAAGCAAATCCTTATAATCCTCAACTTGAGCCCCGCTCAACACGATTTTTGAATGAGACAATGATAGCTTTTCAAGTAAAAGTAGAACTAAGTTAGAAAATAGGACTGCTGAAGTTTACCACATGCACTAAATCATTCGGTACATATGTAACCCATGAAACAGACACAATACACAATAATATTGGGCACTTAATTTATAGGATGCCATGTCCTTATGCATCCACTACAAATTCAATAAGAAAAAAATTTAGCTGGTAGTTGCTACGGAAAGAAAAAGAACTACATGACATGAGGACTTACTTTCCCAATATTTAGGGAAGAGTAAATTTGAAGCAGCTGCAGACAGAAGCTAACCAAAACAGAGGTATCTTTAGCATTAAGGAATGTAACTTGTCCATCAACCAAGTCAACAGTGAACTTTATTATCAGGTACACAACTGCAGGCTATAACGATTGATAAATCATGACAAGAAATTAGCCAAGTTACAATCAGCAGAAAAAGGATGTCCCAAAAGTCTTAAATCAAAGGATGAGAGATTCTTATCAAGAACTGTACCTGATTTTTGTAAGCTTCTAGAAGAGTAATTAGAGGGTTTACTACAGCAACACACACATCAAATACAGCCTTTTGAGTGCGGGGTTGAGTTGCTCTAGCTACACCTATCAACCTTTCCAACAAACAATTCACCTATACAAATCATCAGCCATTAGTACTAATCGAATAAGATTACTACTCAAGTTTATAATCAGAACAGGTGTGAAAGCACAAAGAAGAAAAAGAGACCCTACCATATACATTGCGTCTGGCAATTGGGCAACATCCTTGAGATCATTCCTAGCAGATATTTCTGCAAGGTATGAAGTCATTGGTCCAATGAGATCCCTCACATACCTAAGAGCATTGACCACTATCACAAGGTCAAAAAATCCTATAGAAAAACTGGAAACAAGGAAAAACGCAAAAATTCATTAATCAACTAACTGATTGGAGGCCTCTGCATCTTTCAAGCTAGAAGCTGCACAAACAAGGTTTTCCGCTAGAGAACGCTACAGGATAATGAATCAGACAGCTCATTAGGTGTATATTCTGCAAAAAAAATAAACATTTTAAACATGTAACTGTACATACTTGCAGACGGGGATTTAAGGAGAACAAAGTCCTTTCATTTGAAAATGCTCTTGCTAGATCAAGCCATGAATCCTGTAAAACGTCAACTTATCGTAAGAAAAAGTAAAAGTGACCCAAACAAGGAACCCAAGGGAACAACAAAGTAGGGTATCAAAATGTTAAAGAAAAAGAAATTGCAATTAACCATTAAAAAAGAATTTTGAT